ACCCCGTCAATCTTGGGGGCGGCTAAAACGACCATTAAGATTCCCGAGTTCTGGTCGGCCGACTCCGAACTACGGTTTTCTTACGACAGAATCTATTTTCCGAAAGCATAGAATTGCGTCGTCCCCGACGAAGTTTGATTACGTGTGTTACAAGGCAGCAATCAAGGCTCAGCCGAACAGCATTGCGTAGACGGAAGCCCTACCATTAGTTAGGCTCGGCATACGAACAGCTTTCAAAACAGATATCAACTGTTGCACGGCTGAGTTCGTGAACGGCATGTCACTGCGTCTGCCAGGAGAATTATTTAAGCAGTCAAGTGACACCAAAATCGAAAGCGCCGAAAACCATGTAAAACGACCCGGTTTCCTCATGCAGGACCTCCGACCTACCTACCTACACAAGGGTACCGTCGACACGCTACACGTCCATGCCGGCTAATATTCTGCTCTGTACACACGTCTTTCTCACAAACGACGGAGTCAAGAAACCGATGCAGCCCACATACGATGGACCGTTTCAGGTTCTAAGACGCAGTGGCAAAACTTTGACACTTCTGGTAAAAGGCAACGAGAAAGCTGTCTCGTTAGAAAGAGTTAAGGCTGCCCACCTTGACTAGGCTTTTGTGTACAAGACGCAACACCGTTTCGAAGACCTCAACATGATCAGTTTCGTACAGACAATGCATGGAACTTGATTCGGGACAAGACCTATAAATCCTTACGACAATGGCTACCTCAGGAACGTAAAGGCTCGTCACCTCCGCCTCCTCATTTTTTTCTGGTGGGGGGGGGGGGGGGGGGTACTTGCGCTTATGGTCAGAACATCCATTGGGTCAGATCATCCATTGAGACAAAACATCCAAGACATCACGTGACACAAAAGTCAGAACATCCAACGAGTCAAGGCATCCGTCCGAGTCAAATCATCCATCGAGTCGAAACATCCAAGACATCACGTGGCACCAGAGTCAGAACATCCAACGAGTCAAGACATCCATCCGAGTCAAATCATCCATCGAGTCAAAACAACCATCGAGGCAGAACCTCTATCCGTGTCTAAATATCCATCGAGTCAAAATGTCCATCAGGTCAGAACATCCATCAGAGTCGAAACATCCATCTGAGTCTAAACATCCATCGAGTCAGAACATCCATCAGAGTCAAAACGTCCATCTGGTTCAAAATATTATTATTTGAAATGAAAGGAAAAGAAAACAATATATATGAATTTTTGCCGGCTCGAGACTGCGAATTTTGCGAAGTGCCAGTTTCGAGGATACACCTGATCAACCACCTTGGTCAGTGTCCTGGATGTAGGGTCCTCCGTGATCGTGTTTAATTTTGGTCGCTGAGTATATTTGGCTATTTGTCATCTGCAATCCCGACATTTCAGGATGTCCTTAACTATCTGAACAGCATTACGATCCTTCGAGTTCTTTCGTAGAATGAACTGAACAGCACGCATGGGCCACTTTCCTTGAATAAAACTCTTTGAACGGCTCACGATGTCTTGCTGTCTTATTCAACCAAATGACTTTATGCAAACGATAGGCACTGCGTTGTGTCTGGTGGTAGTAATCGTGACGAAAATGAGTGTATAGACACTGTGACAGGGTACAAATACATAAAAAGTTATAATACATAAAAACAAAACTGTAAAAGTTTGTTCCGTAATTTCACAACTACTATTTACATACCATTGAGCAAATCCATGTAGAGTGCTTTGTCCGAGAGTGAGGCTAACTTTAAAAAACCTCAAACTAAAGCTACGATTCTCTCGGAATACCATTATTGATCACAGTGAACGTCTGGACAAGAGTGTCTCAAAACAATTCAGAGGCTTAACACAAAAATGGAAGGAATTGACTGGCGAGGTGAAATTAATTTCTCTGAAGGGCTTACGTTCCGTAATTCACCGACAGCAGTATTTTGGTCCCTCGAGCAATCGCGCAGACTCGGAGCCCGCCCATCGCCGCGCTCCGCTGCTCCCGCCTCAATAAAAAAAAACAAAAAAAATCTTTTTTTTTTCTTATTTTGAGTTAATGCGTCGAAGCAAAATACTTTTAAAACAGAGCCATTCTCCCTTGAAAAATGTTTCACCATCACAAGCTTGAGAGTGCTCTAACTTTTCATATGAATAATAATATCGTTCTTTTCATTTGGATGATTTTGATCGCGTTGCTTTTGAATGAATTGCTAACATTTGTTACCCAACAGTGCCTGGAAAAAATAGTCTTTTCTTTCCGAACTTCTTAGGAACGCTTCGACATACAACAATCTAAAATAAAAAAAAAAATGGCTGTCGCACTGGTTTCTTACAAAGGCGATCTAAATACCAAGCATTTTTATTTGGATTAAAACGGCTTTATTCATTGTATGTGGGTCACGTAGCCGCCACGAATCGCAGAGTAGCGTGCTTTTGAGCTGCACGGGTCAAACGACAGCAAATAAAATGCCACCTAGACGGCAAAGCAGCGTATTTTACCGGCAATGCAAGTAAATTTCAATCTTAAACCACGTCTCGTGCACCACTCGCCGCTTTCGAGAACCATTGCCACTGTGCCGTCGTGTTCTACCTGATTTTATTATGGATTTGACCACCAAAATACTGTTTTATTTTACCTTTAGAAAGACACAGGGTCACTGACAAAAGTACACCCACTAATACGTGATAAAACAAAAGAAAAATTGTTTCACAACGTTTACATGCCCCTGACGATATTAACTTCAATATTATGTTTATTTATTTATTAATAAAAACTACAGATTGTGAGTTGTTTAAGCAAGGATCAAGGAAAACAACAGCAATCATCTTAGAAAACATAAAATAAACAAGAAAGTCACCAACACTGGTGGAGGAAAATTGAAGAAATCGGAATCACAGAATACATATAAAAATGCACGTTTACTGAATAGCCTGAGTAACTGAAAAGGTCTAAATGAGATAATATAGTCGTAAAGGCAGTTCAGAGCTCAAATAATAGTAAAAAATCAAGAAGATATCCTATCGACTTTCGTCAAATAACGAACTCAATTTTGTCCTTTATAAACGATTAAATTTTATCTGGGAGCGTATGCAAACGGTCCTTGCTTACCATGTCGTCAAAAGTCGTTTACACAACAGATCTCTCCTTTCAGGCGGAAAACGGTAGAGCGTTCAACTCGTCGAAAAATTCATGGCAACCATCCGAGTCAAAACATCCATTGAGTCAAGACATCCATCGAGTCAGAACATCCATCCGAGTCAAAACATCCATCGAGACAGAACATCCATCGAGACAAAACATCCACGAATGGATGTTTTGACTCGATGGATATTTTGACGCGTTGAATGTTCTGACTCGGAATCGGGTACTTGTAGTGACCGCTTACGAGAAGATGAGAAGCGCGATCACGAGGATGCGGCAACCAGGCGCGCGAGCAGCGGAGATGAGGTGTTCAGAGCGACGTAAACCATACTGTAAATGTTGTAAATAAAACTCACCATTGTTTTCTCCTCGGACATGAGTCGATTATGTCCCATAAAAAGGTATTTAACTTCCTAAAGGATGTCCATCTTTTGAAACTTATTTAAGTATATTTAAATATTGTTTACTGACGTTAATGAATAAAAATTATAGCAGCTATCAATAACAATGCCATTGGCGCTCTTTTGCCAAATCTGGTCGTGACGCCATTAAAACATTGATTCATTCATTTCAGGCAATTCATAAAACATGTGAGATGCATGAATAAGTCACGAATTAGCAACTTGACATATATTGATTTACTTTTTTTAAACACTGCAGTGCTGGGGATATTATTGAAAACCTGGCGTTATTGCAGGAGTGGAAAAAACGATTGTTCAAAACGGAATAAGACGTTTCGGCAGCGGTGGCAGCGAGGTGTTCGCAATATAATGAACGCTTTCCAATTTGCACAGAATCTATCGACGTGAAATCCTTCTGCACCGTCGTTTCTGGGATCAATCTGTCACGCTATAAAAAACTAGTCGACACACCCACCGTCCTGCTGCACAGCCACTGGACCGGACCAACAGCGCCTCCACAGCGCCACGGGACCAACAGCGCCACCAGTTGAAAAGGAAGCTGCGGGCTGCGACCACTTTTTGGGCATCGGCGGCAGCGAGTTGTTCGCAACATGATTAATGCTCTTCGATTTTCAAAGTTTGGAATCATTCTTTCCTTGCAAGTTTACCGTTGAAAATCCGCTCACGCGGCTGCCAAAGCGTTTTTTTTTTTTTTTTTTTTTTGTGGTTTAGCGTATTATATTTCACCACATATGATAGCGAGCTTCGTCAATTTTTAGACTCGCGGACAGCATTTCGAGAATTGGAATCATTTGCGAGTTATTTTAATCGGTAAATGGTCTTTCCCATCAAGAATGGTCAAAAGGAGGCGGGGTCCGCAGATATTGGGAAAGCGCCGCGCACATGAACCTCCAGTTCAATCCTGAGCGTACTCTAACCCTACAGACAAAACTGCGGGCTTTGTCGATTTTTAGAATCTCGAAAAGAATTTTGAAAATCGCTTTATTTCTCGAGTTATTCTAATCGGAACATGGTCGATCCCTTCAAAAATGGTAAAAAATAGGACATGATTAAGCAACACTAGCGAGTTATAGTAGACCGCTTTCATTTTCCCCTCCGCTCTGAGCACGTCAAACCGCGCATGCGCGGCCCGCAATGCAGGGGTACAGAGCGGAGCTTCCAAGGCGAGTTTTAGTAGACCGTTTTCCGCTCACCAAATAGTGCAGCTAGAGCGTACCGAACAGCGACGTACGCAACCCCGAAAGCGGACGTTCGCGGTACTAGTTAGACGAAACATTTCAATGCAAATACTCTGGTTCATCCTTTCTGTATGCAAAGCTGTCCTTTTACAATTAAACATGCACTTATTGCATTATGAGTCATTCTAGTCATTATATTATAGTCATTATATTTAGAAAGAAAAGTGAGTTAGAAAACCTGAGATAGCTGGCCAGGTGTGATGCTTTCGTAGGCAAGGCAAGCCGAAGCTGATCGCTGTCACGCTTGTTGTCTTCTCTTGGTCCCCCTCCGCGTCGCCGCACGTTCAAAGAACCAAGGAGATCAAGCGGCCAAGTACGTTGCAGAGACGACTCCTGCTGTTTCACTTAAAATGGCGAGAAATAGAAAATTTAATTTGCTTAAGAAATGCGAAGCGCCGCGATTTTCGCTCAAGGCACGGGCTGCTTGACACCCCCCACGTGAGGAACGATGATTTCCGAAGGCTGTTCTGCTTTGAAAAAGCCCTCCTGGGCGCCCTTCTGTCGGCGTTGGAGGTGCCCGAGTCTTTCACCGCGGCGCAAGGCGCTGCTGTGCCGGGTGATGAAGCACTGTGCATGATGCTGCGGTGTCTCGCGTACCCCAACCGGCTCTTCGACCACGAGAGGGTGTTTGGTCGGGACTCATCAACCATCTCCGGTATTGCAAACCTGGTCATAAGCCACGTCCATGAGAAGCTTGGCCACTTGCTGTCCGATATGAATAACCACAGCTGGCTGCCGCTGGCGAGTCTGGAGCTGTTCTCACAGGTAAGACCCTGCGCCTTTCGTGTAAATTTCGGATTGCAACGGGTCGTTGCACTGTTTGATGTCTCGGAACCGTTTTGTAGGCCATTACAATTTGCATCGTCTTTCTTTGGCGTGGACTAGCGAGATGCGAACTACCTATAGGCACGTTGAAGAAGACGGAGGACCAGAAATGAGAAGTACGCAAACTGAGCGCTGAAGCGATCTTGTTTACATATGCCTGTACTCTCACTGCACGTAACGAAAGTGTTTATCCAGGCTAGCTATGCAGATATTTCCACTAGGGTTCTGTAAATGCTTGGCCAATGAAAGTGCCTGTGACATCATTCTTCAGATTTCACCTAAGATTTGTAAATCTAGTCTTGTGGTACTACCACACTTCTCTGCATTTATTTGTAACCTCTCTATGGACCTGTGCAGGGTTGTAAATGTTACTTCGAAAATGTACCTAAGATGCAGTTGCATTTACTCATACGAAAAGGCACCTAGATACTCACTTAAAAATGCACCTAGGTACAGGTGCAGTTCCTTCAAAGAGCTTTATTTATTTTCCCCTAATTTGTCAGAATATTTCCGCGCGCGCAGCTGACCAAGCAGGCAACTCGCTCATGGCGTAACGGTTATCGCGCTTGCCTTCCACCAACGAGGTAGAGGGGCTTAGAGTGATAAACCGGAAGTTCGGAAGTGGCACCCCCCAGGTTGCCGCCATGTTGTACGCAAATGTGACTACTCGTCACGTGACCTCCCAAGAGCCGTGACGTCACCGGTAAGATGGCAGCGCCCAGAGCTGGCGGATGCGAGTTTGTTTGGTGCGCGGGAGCCGTGATGTGCAGCGGTTTTCCGACGACTTCGGGCTTTTTCGTGCTCGCTGACGCATGTATAATGTGAAAATATGAAGGAATGAGACTTTATGCCCTTTTTCCGTAAGATCGCTCTGGATTATCTGGATATTAACACTTGTGAGACAACCTCAGCTGTATCGCCGTACCGGTGCTCGGATTCGGGACCTGTTCGAAGATCGATAGACCTTTGAGTGCTTTTAGCATAAACTTTTCGTATTCTCTTAGCTTTGTTTGGACGTTGGAATGTCTAAAAATTGTCGCGAAAGGTATGCGTCGGATGTACGGCCTAGGAGAATTTGTTTCAGCCCTAGGTAACTGCATAATCACAGCAACTTTTAGCGAGGAAGCTCCTGCGACCGTTACGTTTTGCACTTATCAACAATTTTACGATATAACTTCAGGCATAAAATATTCGCCTTTTTCCAGCTTTGTTTGAACGTTGGAATATCTGAGAATCGAAGCGAAAGGTATACGACGCGTTAGGGCCTAGGGGAAGTTGTTTCAGCCCTGCGTCACCGAATAACCAAAGCAACTTTTAGCGAGGAAACTCCTGCGATCTTTAACTTTTTGTGCGAATCGACGATTCGATATTCGATCGCTTTTCTTCTTTGTTTCTGTGAGTGCGAAGTGCAGACTTTATTCCAGCTACTAGGGTGACGTTTTATTGAGTGTGGGGATGAATAAATCGTTGCAGGCACCTGCTTCAAAGCTTTTGACTTGCTATAAGAACAACTGTTTTAGTGTATGCATAGATTAACTGCACCCTTTTTCTCTTTTGTAAAATTTATTGCAGCAATACTTTTTTTCATCACGAGTGCATTGCATTAGTCGGTCACTTATTTACTTGTTCTAATTACCTGGATAATATTATTCACATTTGTGTTCATCCCTTGCCTGAAGAGCAGTCTTGTTGAAAAATGTTGACCATTCCTTTCGGTCTCTTCAATAGACTTTTTTGAAAAGTGTGAGCTGCCTATACTTCGTATCATTGTAACTTGGAAAAGGGCGACCGCCACAGCCCCCTCGAGCCAATCAGAGAGACGAAGCGAAGGTTTCTGGCAAATCTGTGCTGACGAGCACTCTGAATGACATGTTGTCATGTGCCTCTCTCCACGTGCGAATTGGCTCACCGAGACTGTAGCTTTTGCCGTTTGCCAATTGTGATGAAACGAATTACGGTAGCTACTATTCTAATTACCCCACGCCTTCATACTGTGAGAATTTGTTCGACAAGAATGTTATGTCCGCCATCACTGTGAACTCGGCTCAGCGCCTATTGAACTGGAATGCTGCATTAGCATTCGATGTGAACTGGGGCCCATTCATGTGCTTTACGCCGAAAAAAAAAAGATGACAGTTGTGTTGCTTGATGGGGATCTGCAAAGGGTCTAGTGTGTCATACGTATAGGGAGTGTCCTGCTATACAACAATGCATCCATATATTAAACTAGATGCTCAGAGCTGTGTTTGTTTTTGCACCCAACAAGTTGCAGCAATAATTATTTCTTACTAGTGTAATATTTATTTTCGGTAGCTGGGCCTGGTTTGTGCTCATTAATGTCCGTGTGCTTATATGTTATCACGTGTGTAGCTTTAAGTATCCTCTCTGTAATGCCTCCAGAGGCTCTTGGAGGGAACAAATTAATAAACAACATTTTCACATCACTGGAGTTAGTTTTCGGGCGCGCCACATGTTCAGGAGAAGTGTAACGAGTGCAGCCCAATGCAACCAGTCTGCCGGTCTGGTATTTCCCAATAACTAATATTGAGGGGTCAGAGATGCGAGTGTCCTCAAAAGGCCCAGCACGTGCCGTGAACATAATTCTTTGTGTAGAGACTCTGAAGACGTAAAGGCGAGCGGAAATATGTTTATCTGGTTAGTGTATCAAATATGATTATTTCCACTTAATTTCATAATTATCGAGTCTTAGAAAATGGTTCCATAACGAGTTCTTTCTGTGACAGCCTCGTGTCAGGCTTCAAGTCGTAGTACCTGTGCTCTTTGTTGCGGATGACACTCCTGGCACGTCAATGTTCAGTTTGGTCAAGTGGCAGCTTTGACCGACAGATGCTATCTTGTAATCGTACGTCATGTGGAGCCACTGATATTTGATACACTGAAGCTGCAGAACTGGCTTCTAATCCGCAAATTTTTCTGGTAGTTCTCTGCGTCAATCCAGCAAGCTCGGGCATGTAGTGCTTACGTGGCTGTGCCTTTTGCTGTAATGTTGACTTGATGGCTGGCAACAGGCAACTGTGTTTGTTTGCTATCCAAGCCATTGCACTTCCATTTCGTAATGGCGATTTTTTCTGCATCCCGCGACCACTGCAACTTGTGTAAGTCTCGTGTGGCAAAGTGAAGTCGGGTGATGCTTGGTGTCCACTTTTGAGAACAACCATTCATTCTATTTCTTCAAGTCACTCAGCGGCATTCTCCGTCAAGGTTGGGAATTGTGTGCTTCATTGCATGGACACAGATAATTGGTGTCAGTAAATTATTAGGTATTGTCCTTCGACGACAACCAACACCAAATCAACTGTCGTTGCATTGCCGCTCACCCGCTTCGTCGTGCTTACCTCCCGCCGAGGTGATGGCGATCCGGAGCTTCGGGGTAATGTCAGCACCAGGGGCAAAGGCCGCCGAAGATAATCCTCAATGTCCTGCGGACGCTCCTCGAGACGTGGTTTAAGGTCGTTCGGCACAAACTCTTGCAGGCCAATTCATTGCTACGGGCACCTCCAGTAGACTGGGTCGGCCTCATGCAGTGGTAGCAGTGGCTTTCGGTCGACCATTCGCAGCACCTCCGTTTTCTTCGGTGTAATTTGTTCAGCGAGAACCTACACTGGCTCTTACCGATGTCGGGAATGCTTCGGCGTTGGGGTGTCTCGTTGAATTGGCATTGAATACTAACGGGTAGCCGGTGGTGGACGTCGTTACTTTGTGGCATAAGTCGCCCTCGGTTCGTCAGATGCCGCTTTGCTCGAAGACATCTTCCGTTGAAATGCCTGTCGAACTTGTTCCGAAACAATCTCGGCAATCAAAATAAAAGCTGGGCAACTAATGGCAGAAAGTAGCTTCCTGATCTCCTCCCGGACAACAATCTGGATGATTTTGCGGATGCCTGGGAGTCTGGCGTCGAAGTTGCAGCTGGATGACTCGAGTGTCGAGACGCTGGGGAGTTGTTGAGAGTTACAGGCTCGGGCCTGCAGTGTACATTCAATGTGGGAAGCCTCGGTGATATGAACCCTTCGATTGCCGTGGGGTTGCGGACAAGGATGCCGAAGGTGCTGTCCCTCACATGAGGAGCATGGGATTCTTAGCTTCTCGTCTTCTGTAGCTCCAGGGTTGGCATGGGTGCTCGATCAGGCGTAAAACATCCTCCACGATGGCAGCGACGCTCTTGTTGGGGCCGTGGCCTGGACAGAATCAGGAATTCGGCCCTCTCTCGTCAATGTTGGCTGATGAACGGGCACTTCAGCTTGATCTTGCAAACTTCCCATGAGGTTGAGGAGGATTCGTGATTCTCAAACATGTGCCTGATAGTTTCTTCCACGCGAAGTATAGGTTCTGCAGGAGCTGGTTGTCTGCAGTCCACCCACTCTGGCGGGCAACACGGTCATATTGTTCAATCCAGCCATCGACATCATCATATCCACGCGTGAAAGGGCGCCGGAGTGTGAGGTGCGACGGGCATGCAAACAGTGGTGGGAGCAGATGCTGTTTGCAGCTGCAGTTTTGTCATTGTTGGCTTAGTCGGCTTCGGATTTTTCTGGCAAAATACCAAATTCCGGTGGTTCGATCCTGCTGGTAGCAGCGACCGACTCGGATTTCAGGTTCTTCGTGGTGTATTTTCGAGGTTCGTCCTTGTGGTACTTGCTCATCTTGCGGTCTTTCTGCTGGTCTCGGGATAAATATTGGTTCACGGCTTGCCAAGGGTTTAAGACGCGGGATAGTCCACCACCCGTGTCCCGTTATCGTGCAACTCGGCTGAGGAGCCGCCGAGGTGCACACAGAGTAAAGGGCCATGGGTAAAGTACCCAGCACCTCCACCAGAACATACGATGAAAGCTGAGCATGGCCTGGAACTTTCCAGAATAGTAAATATTGATAGAAGATAGGACCGGAGCAAGCGCCCGTGACAATATAGCAAAACTGACAGAAGAAAGACCACCCTGACCACTAAAGAAGCTGCATTGCTTTAGTGGCAATCTGTTCGAATAAATTCTCTCCCTCGGGGTTTGGCGACTGCCGTGGGTGAACTGAACTGAAATGGATGTGGG